TAGGAGAGTTTTTAAGTGGCACTTAATACTTAGGATTATACTACTAAGGGTCTACTGCCAATTTTGGACTAGCAGATATGGAAGTTTACAAGCATCTAGCCTTAGACAATATTAAATAGTCTTGCCGTTGATACATATCAAGTTTATCTCTTAGATATGTACTATTATTTTGTAACGCTGCATGCTATATTTTTCAGTTCCATAAGTATAATTCACGTAATCATTACATTACTCCAAATAAAATGGCCCATTGACAGTTTGAAACAGGATCGCTACGCGCTAGATACTTTATTTTGAATAACATACTCTTGGTGTGGTCACTCCATATTACACTTACTTAGTACTCCTTACTGACATTATTTCCTTCATGGTCTCTCACTTTATACTTAACTTCCTTGAGAACTACTGATGAAAGGGTTACACCCGGGGACACCAAGGAAGTCACAGTTCCGGTCTAGTTCTTAGCGAAACCGGTCATGTGGAAAATACTTTCCAAAAATTGATCTTAACTCTAATTACAACTTTGTAGTTTTCTCTGTTCAGATTGTCTGCATTATAACCTGTTTAAAGAGCGCAAAATTTCCAGTAAACTGAAAGTTTCAAGAGAATTTTCTAATTCATGTTAATTTATCATATTGTCGCTTTAAAACGGAAGGGAAATCCGCACGATTTCGAGACCCTCCGAAGATTAATATCTTTACAATCTCTCACCTAGAGGAAATGTGCTTGAGTACGTGCTTGAGTACGTTTTTGAGTAGAAACATTTGACCTTTGCACAAAAAAACATGCAGCAAATTAAAGGGGACTAAAAAATATTTTTAGAACGTCTGTACCTAAGTATTTAGCCAAAGTCACAGAGAACGAAATCAGTTTATAAATTTTTTCCACTTTTGAACATTAGCATTAAATTTAGCTTACTCATTTAATATTACTATGACAACAAAATCAGTAGAATTAAAACAATTTTCAATTTCTTTTCTGACTAAAAACAATGAACTTCTTTCCAGAAGAAAGTCATTGCTGAGTTAACTTATTCAACTTCAGGTTTTTGCTAATGGTAAGCGA